TATATATATTTTTTAATCCTTTATAATTTTAATTATTTAATTGCTCCTTCCTCTCTTCCTTGGCATGTTGTGAAATTTCTGATAGCTGGATAATAAACCGTTTTATTGTAAATTGTCTTTTAAAATTATTTTGAGTTGATATTAAAATTTGGAAAAGAGGGATCCCTATATCGGTAAAATACGCGAATTTCTTTCTACAACTTCGGTTGTTGTTCAGGATACAGTTAAGGTTTTAACAAAGTTTGAGCAAATACATAATTAGCAAAAAAAGTTGAAATAAAGTGATTAAACAAAAATTATTACAAATATCGTAAATAATAAATGCATATATAGAGATATTTTTTGGAGGGGGGAAATGGTCTTCAGAATTTGAAATGCTCATATACATGCGTGCCATCTATCATAGGATAAATGTACTATGCCAGAAACCTTCGCGGGAGTATATTAAACAACTTCCCAAAGTTTCACGTCAATCGGATAAACGGTGTGGTAATGCATGAAGGACACACACACACATTCATTTTTATATATATAGATATGTGGTATGACACTAGTGGAAAAGAGGACAATAGACACAATAAATATGCTATTCATCCTCCACAGATGTCTTATTTCATGGGCAAGTGGAGTTTACTTGTTGATTTATTCAGTGTGAGGATTTTTCACATTATGAGTGTTAAGAATGGAAATGTCTATTATATAAGCAATCATATTGCATTTGTTAATGAAACTGATGTTGGGTATTGTGGTGAATTCTTTTATCTGTGATTATGACTTTGTCATAGTATATTTTGTGTGTGTCATTTTCTAATACAGCTGTGGAGTATATTTGTAGTATGGTACTTGGTTGTTTAATAATTTCTGTTTGTGTGCAAGCTCTTGGTGTATTATATTTGCTATTTGATTATGCCTATGTAAATAGTTTATTTGTGCTAACAGCATGCAATTGAAATTATGTGTTGTATTGTTTTTGGCAGAATATGGCATTTTCTGCAAGAGTCATTTGTGAGTGATGTGTCCTTCAGGATGTGTTTTCTGTATTATTAGTGTTTATTACCTAATACTGAATGACAACCATAAATCTTTGTCTCTCCAAACAGTCAGCCTTTGGTCTGCCAGTAGTTTGATACAGTTTAGTCAACATAGTCCTGAGCTAGGTCATAGACATGCTTGCCATGAAGTGTCTTTTGGATCCTTGACTGCTTCTTTGTTGTTTATGGTTGAGTCTAGGTGTTCAGAGTGTAAGTTTAAAGGTGTGTTGGTACTGTCTGTTAGAATTATATCTTTATGTAATTTTGATGTTTCTTTTTTTTGTGGAAAAACTCCCACAGCATGGTAATTTGTTTGCAGTATAGGTTAATTGTTATTACTATTTTTGTACTACCTTATAATAACGATCCACAAAAACCTTTTTATAACAGTGTTGTGTCCGTTACAATATTCACTAACGTTCAACAGTCAAGAAGAGACACCATTTAGTCAGCACCTGAAGAAGACCTCAGTGGAGGTCGAAAATGTTAGTGAATATTGTAATGAANTAGTATTTGATTTATATAACTATAAACGTTATCTTACGTGAGGCTTTATCACACCAAGTGACCAATCTAACACGTTTTAAAAATTCTTTAAATTGTGTACAGTAGAGGAATAAAGAATTTTTAAAATGAGTTAGATTGTCTGTTGGTGTGATAAACCCTTACTTGAGATAACCTTTGTAGCTATATAATTCAAATACTATAATATAACAAACATTAAAATGAAATCCATATAAAGAATTTGGTTATTTCAGCCTATCATTGTCATGTTTATTGCAATACTTGGATGGTATGAAATGGCACAGTTTAGTTGGTCAAGTAGACATCAATTGAAAATGTGATATCTTAAATTTTTTCAGATGTTTTCTAATGTTAACTCTATTGTTTTCTAATGTTAACTCTAAAAAACTGTTCCATTTACAACCAAATATCAAATAGTAATCTTCCAACGAATCAAATTTCACGAAAAATGGACCAAATATTTAAAGTCAGTACCTCAAAAACCACTTAAAACATTTTGTGCAGGCTTGTATTATGTAATTTTCTTATTTGAATGACATCATACCACTGGTTCAATAGAAAGATGGGACTGTTGGAAAAGGGAATTGAAGTAATTCAACCAAAAGTAGTCATTGACCTCCTCCAGCAAGAGAGGGTGTTTAATGACTACTATTAATACTGGTCCGCTATTAATATTTGAAAAGTGATCTGTGTTGGATAGGTTGTGATAGTTTCACACATGATCAAAGTTGCTCATCTTAATGTCTGAAAGTTTTTGTATGACTTGTTTAAATAAAAAAAATTTGTAAAAATGCCAGAATAATTGCTTTTATGTGATAATGAAGTGTTTATATTTTTGCAACAGATTGCATAAATACATGGGAAGTATGATGCATTTATAGAAAAACTATTGGGCTGCAATTTGAAAAAAATTGCAGACCTATAAATTCTGACTGTTATCCATCTGTTTGTTTGTCTGTCCTTCCTTCGATTAATTAATCAATTAATTAATTAAAGGAAGGACAGACAGACAAAGATTAATTCATTAATTAATTAATCTTGAGAAAGGAGTTAGATAGATGAAAGTTTAGACCAGATATGTTTTGGGACAGGAAGTCCAGATTAACTATATAAGAATTTCTAGTTTGGACTGGAAGTTATGTTACTTCAATTCAAAATTTTCCCCTGAAGAGAGTCAGATAATTGGCATGACTATTGCTAACAGGAAAAGTATGATATACAGGAGGAAGACACCAGTAAAAGAATTGAGAATATTATGACGGAAAATTGCAGTCTGGCTTTGTTACAATGTCACAATAATAAGTTAGATTTCAATCTTGCTTTTACTTTTTTCATTGTTTTTCTATTGACTATTTAAGATGAAATTGCTATGGAAGCTATAATAATATAGCTTCAATACTGCATTTATAACCATTAATGCTGATGCCAGTGCTATACTGGACTGAAATTAAAGCACACTTACATAAAACAATTATTTCATTTTGTTTATGTTGTTTATAAGGAATTTTTTAAGCACAGATGTATGCAAATGATTGTTTTATTGTTTATGTTCCATACTATTTGATATATTTAACATTATTGTATTCTACAGTGAAATGTAAGTGTTGTATTATTATTTTATTTTATATAATTTAAACTTATTTCTCACTTGAAAATCTGAAAGAAAAAAAGGGATTATTTCAGATATTTAATTTCAGTATGTTTCTTTCTAGGACAAACTTATGGACAAAAAATTCATAGTTCTAAATATTCTACTGTAGCTCTTTTGACTGAAACTAAAAATGTACCTTTATCAGCATTCACTTTAGAACTGGAACATGCATTACAGCCTATTGGTAAAAAATTTCTATAATTTGTAAACATTTCCTAGTTGAAATATTAAATAAGAATTAATTAAATCAGAATATAGGAAAACTTTTAATATCATGGATTATTCTTTTATCTGACACCTGGAAGCAATTTATTACTAATTGCATAAAAAATATTAATTTTTTTAAACAAAAATTAAATTTCAAATATATACAATAAATAAAATATAGTTAATCCTCAATTTAGCACCATCATTGGTTTGCTTTTGACTTCACACTAAATTGATTTTGGCATTAACTTCAATAAGAATTTACTTCAAACAGAATTAAATGTAGTAGTGTGATCTATACACAAGTCTTAGTTTCATGGTCCTTAAGTCATNAATATCATTGAAGACACTTATCATGTGTAAAACTTTTGTTTTCTTTCCAGAAAGAACTGTCTTATAAGAAATTGTTAAAAACTAAAAGAAGTGTACATTGTGATTTTTCTAGATTAGCACGATTCTTAACTGGAACTTCTTATGGTTTAGTATTAGGAGGAGGAGGAGCAAGGTAAATTTTTCAAGTAATTATTTTTTATTGATTATAAAGATAATACCATAGGAAAGAAGTACAGTCAGTTACAAAATGTCTTTGACTTTACCAAAAAAGGTTTGCCTTTCCTGCAATACTTGAAAACAGCTCTCATAGCATTCCATGTACTCATTGAGAAAGGCTTTACTGCTGGTAACAGCAACTAACCATTTCATGGTAATGAGGGAGGAAGGGTTGTAAGGATGAGTGAAATGCTTTACTCATAATATTTATTTCAATGTAGGATTTAATAATACAACATTTCTAAACATGGAGAAAATAATACATTTATTTCTTGATGCTACCATGTTTCCAATAATTGAATTATTAATCAAAAACTTTTTTTGATCAGTTACACATTTATTATCATTTGATTATTATGTAATTCCCACAAGTTGCACTTACTTACACATTTAAGAAGCTGGCTCTGTTCTCTGAAAAATATTTTGATCTAACTATAAAACTTATGATAATGTTACTACTATAATGGCATTGAGTCATGTTTAAAAGAAACTTTTAAACTTGTTTCTTAATTAATTTGGTTTGTTAAGATTATTTATAATATTCAGTATGTATAAGTTATGTATAAAAGTTTATGATAAATATTTCTTAAACAGAAACTTCTTTTTTTATTTTTAAAATTAAATTTCAAATATATACAATAAATAAAATATAGTTAATCCTCAATTTAGCACCATCATTGGTTTGCTTTTGACTTCACACTAAATTGATTTTGGCATTAACTTCAATAAGAATTTACTTCAAACAGAATTAAATGTAGTAGTGTGATCTATACACAAGTCTTAGTTTCATGGTCCTTAAGTCATGTAGGTTTTTGTGAAAATTGAGGGTGCTGCCAATTAGAAGGGTACAATATTGAAGTTTGACTGTATATTATTTATGACTCATTTATGTAAATTCATTGGATGTACAGGAAATATCTACAAAAGCAAATATTTTAAAACATTTTACTACAAAGCAATTTTTAAAAAAATTAAAAAAAAAAGAATAGAATAAAATTATAACATTTCAAGTATTATTTGATTATTAATTTTCTTTTAAATTATTTATTGNAGAAACTTCTTTTTTTATTTTTAAAATTAAATTTCAAATGTTTTAATTAAATTGTTTTAGTAAAAAAAACATGCCACATGTTTGATAACAATGTCTATGTATTATTTTTATTACATTAAAAATACTTTGTAATTACCTAATGATGAATACAGTACAAAGAAATTCTGAGTATTAGTATATCTAGATAATAAGAGTTTTTGAAAATAGTGTTAATGCAGTCTTTATTTTTTAAAAATATAATGCATTATCCCTATTCAATATTTACATATAACAGCTCAGGTTTTCTCCTTTCTGAATGGTACTTTGTTAATTCTGATAAGTGTCCTCCAGTAGCCAAGTGGCTAAAACCACCGAATACTAGTAGTTAGAATACTGTAGTTGTGGGTTTGAGCATTGTCAACAGGTTAGTCACATGGAGTTTTCTGGGTTTTCTTCACAAAAAATGCAAAAAATTCTTCATTTAGTACTGCAGATGCTTGTAGAGGAAAAAACTACTGAGTGTAGAAAGCTCAAATTTTAAACTTAAGCCTTTCTCGTTACTAGGGAGGTGCTGGCAAAACTTCCAGGTCAATAAGTCAATGTTCACAGGGGTTTCCCATAGAGCTAGTTTAGTTTTATGTCTTAATTTTATGCCTATAAAGATAAAATTGCATAAAAAACAAATGAATTTTATTCAAAATGTTACTCAGAATAACAAAAACTGAAATATATGTCAATTAGAACTTTTTATAAAGATTTTTCTAAATGGCGTATTGAAAGCATCAGTCAGCAGTGTGTTGGTTGGCAATTCATTTAGTCAGTGCCAACTAAAATGAATATTGAAAGTGTTCAGTTGACAGCATATTTGGTCGGCAATCTGTTCAGTCAGTGCTCAGCAACTAAGTTCTGTTGTTGTCTTATGTCTTGACATAATAATACAACTATTAAAAAACAATTGGTATCCAAACAAAAACATCTGAAATGTAAAAAATTTGCATCAAGTAAAAACTTACGACAATTTAGATGACAATCAAAATTTTTTTAGGAGTTTTCCTTGGTAAAGATAAGCTTGATGCTTGAAAGTGGTGCTCACAAGATTTTTACCTGTATTATTCTTTTCTACATTTCACTTTCAAGCATCAAGCTAATCTTTATCAAAGGAAAACTCCTAAAAGAAATTTTAACTGTTGTCTAAGTTGTCAAGTTTTTACTTGGGCGAAAGTTTTTTACATCTCAGATCTTTTTTATTTGAATACTTACTTCATCTATTTACGAAATTAGAAGTAAGTAATGTGTGAGTTATTGCTAATGTTTGTTAATTTATGGCATATTTAAACATTCTACAAACTTGTTTTAGTTAAGATGTAAAATGCTTGAATGTTCTTTATAACTTTACTTCTGTTTCCAAGGAGAAATAGTTATTTATATTATCTGAAAGAATGCCAACATCAATGGAAATTGACTACTGAAAGTTGGTCAATGTTGAGAATTTCCAGGAAGAGCTCAAAATCATAAACTATTTCTGACAATTCCCAAGAATTTTGTGAAATATTGAAAATGATTGGACATTGTCAAAGATACCACATGAATTGAGAATTATAAACATTACCCAGTCTTTATTGACAGTGACTAATTTTGAGCTATTCCCATCATATACATATTAATAAATATATTTTGTTGATACAATAGTTAATGTAATAATTGATAATGATTTTTTTAGAGGAATTGCTCATATTGGACTAATTAAAGCAATCTTAGAAGCTGATATTCCCATAGATATGGTAGGTGGAGTTAGTATGGGAGCATTTATAGGAGGATTATGGTGTCAAGAGACTGATATTACATCTGTTATACAAAAAGCAGAAGAATGGGCAAAAGTAAGGAAACCTTTAGTTTGTATTAAAATTTTTAAAAATTANATCTATATTTTACTCTAAAGTTTTTCTTGCTATAAGAAAAGCAGGAATAAACTTCTCTAGTCTGACATTAAATTATCAGTTCCATTACACAATTCAGCATTATATGAATTTCTTAAAAAAGTGATGCATATATCTAAAATTGCACATTTAGATTTTTGTCTGAAATTTAAAATTAGGAAATTTTTTGTCTATTGCAAATATTTAATTCACTTATTTGTTTTATGTAATTAAAAATGAATTTAATAAACTGTTCTAAAAATGTTAACATTATAAAAATTAATTCCTAGCAAGAACATTGAGATTAACAAGTGATTTCATAATAAGAACATTTGGAGATACAGCATTGGATAGGTAAAAGACTTACATTTATATAAATTTATGCATTTCATTGTAAAATAGTTTCTATTAACTTTACACTTTATTCTTTTGTTACATTTGTTTGTTTTCTATAATGTGAATATAATCTTATAATTATTTATATCTATGTCATCTACCAAAAGGATATACCATATTAATTCTAATAAACAGCATTCTCTATTAAATTGTACAACTGCAAGATGGTAAAAGTTATAAATGGCATCCTCTAATAAGCACACTGTATATTGGAGAATGATAAGGCTTATTTTAAACTAAAATATTGCACAGTCTATTCAGCATTGTTACTCTTACCATATGTTGATGTAAAGTCTGTGTGTTGCATGGTGCTTCAATGCTCAAATAATAATAAAGTGAAAAAGTTATTGGATTTATTCCTTTAATAATCATCCTTAATAATAGTCACACCTAATTTTCAAAAAATAGGAACAATAGTTGCTCTCTAATAAATAGCACAGTTGAAGCTGGAAAAAGTTATAGACAGTGTACTGTTTATTAGAATATTTGCACAGATTATTACAAATATATTGATATTATAAAATGTAGCGGATCTAATATCAGATGGAACTATTTGTAAAATTACATAAAAAATATATATAATATAAAATATTATATATATGTTATTNGATTATGGTGTCAAGAGACTGATATTACATCTGTTATAGAAGGCCATAGACTGATATTACATCTGTTATACAAAAAGCAGAAGAATGGGCAAAAGTAAGGAAACCTTTAGTTTGTATTAAAATTTTTAAAAATTATAATTTATTTATTGTAATACAGCAAAAAATTCTTAATTATAAAAAAATTACATATTTTTGTATAAACTGATAATTAAGTCACAAAATAACACAAATTTAATAAAACCACAATACAATGAAAAAGCTTTTATATTGTTGAAATAAATAATCCCAACTAGTTTATACTAGTGTGGGTAATCAAGAACCAATAAACAATCCAGCAGTTATTGTATTATGCATAATTCAATAACTGACTTTCTGATTTTCATATGCAATATTGCATATGAAAGTCAAAATGTAAATATGTCTTCCTCATTCAAGAAACTATTTAAAATAATAGGCTATCACATATACAAAAACAAAGTACAAATTTTCAGTATGAATGCTCACATTGGCTAGTATTGGAACAGTAAAGTATGCTTACTCATAAGAGCTGCTGGAAACATTTTTTAATCTCATTTTAATGTACTGCTGCTGAATTTTTTGTCATATTGCATATAACATTATCCAAAAATTTTCAAATTAGCATAGTTTTAGCATTGATTTGATTTTGAGAAACAAGGAATATTTTGCAGGAAATTAATAAATTATGGACTGTTACTTCATTAATTAATGTTTAAATATTTAAATTGCAAAACCCATAACATCTTTCTCTTGTTGCCCATTGAAAACTTCTTGTTATTACATGACTTTTGAGGTCTTAAAAATGTTAATTACACAATATCATAAATTTGAGACCACACAGTCTAATGACGAAAAAATTTTTTTCAAAGTACAGTGTTTTCCTTCCAAGCCACTCACAATTAACCTTCACACCCTTCAATTTGAGGGCAGGTGTTAAAACCAGTCTAAAAATGAAAACCAAGTGCAAAAAATTATAAATAAACATAACTTAAAACTACACTACTTATCATTTTTCAATTTTTGTTTTAATAATTTTGATAGTGTAACAAAAATACCAATTAAGTTTTTTTTCTAGTTTGTTAATATTTTATAAAATTTGGAAAGTTTATTAATTAAAAGACAATTTAATAAATTTATAGCTTTATAACAGATTACAGAATTTATTGATGAATAATAAATAAAAACAGTGTTTTACTTTTCCAGTTTTTTATATATATAACACAGGAAAATATTGAAATTTTGTTAAATTTGATCCTCCATGTTTTTTTGCAAATCTCAGCATTTTGAGACCTCCTGAATCCAAAAATGGCCCAAAAAAAACCCCATATGTGTTGATGTCTATTTCTGTAAAATCTCAGAATGGTATAATGATTTAAGAAATGAAATTTAGTGTGTTAGCTTGTGTATAATGGGCATTGATGCTATTAAATTTTGGTAGTTATAGATTGAGAAGTAGGAAGATAGAAATGGGTCACATGTCATAACTTGAGTGACATTGGACTTCATGAAGATTTTGCTTGTTATTAACATATATAATTTTATATAAAATGCATCTCTACCCACAAAATTAAATTATTTGTAGTTTTAATATAAAAGTTTAAATATAAAAGTTGTTTTTTAACAAAATCTCATAATGGATGATGCCACAAACTAATTTAAAATTTGTTCTATTACATCATCATGTTTTCATCAGAAAAGTTATGCATTTTGTTTCTGGATTTTTAATTTAATGAAATATCTTGTTTTAAGTTTTAATAATTCTGCAACTCTGAAAACTTTTTTTCTAATTAATAATTTTAACCAATTAAAAATTTTAATTTTCAAAATTTAAGAAGATAACTTGTTAGAAAGAATGGTATACAGGCGATTTATCTCTTAACTTTTTTTTTTTTTTTTTAACAAAGACATGCCATATATCTTCTAATAGACACCTCTTGCATTTAATTACCAAACTGGCTGACCAACATGGTACTTATTATCCTATGGTTATGTTCTACAAAAAATAAAGAAACTGAGTAAAGAACAGAACAAAATATACAGATATAGCAAAGAATAATTAATGAACCCTTTTGCTAATTTTGGTCAACTGACTCAGATATGATACATCCAAAAACGAATTTCCAGTTTCATTTTCTCCAGAGAACCAAATCTATTCAAGTCTTGACTGTAAGGCTGCATTTATGCAAACACTAGAAGAGAGAAAAACATGCAAAAACATTTTTCGGACCAGAATTCACAATCACAACACTGTTTATATATAAATGAGAAATGAATTTCTTGCGCAAACACATGAGAAATGCAGAAAAACATCTAGATCCTGTGTGAGCATTAGTTCTATATTATGCTGCTGTGGCAAACAGTGCCAATAGCCGGAAGCTCAATTTGTGGTATTTGGTGGTCATAATTACAAATTATGATTGCTTTATTCATAATTATTATTGGTAATAATGAAAGTAAGTTATTGTCCTTCAAACAAAAGAAAACATTCTCAAACTAAATTATAATGTCAAATGAAACAAAATCCATAATCATAAAACATTCAGACTCGACTCCTTACAATAATGTATATTATCATGGCCAACTAATTTTATTTCAGTCACTGTTTAGTCACTTTTTCCTTACTGGGAATTACTATTCTCACTTATTTTGAAGCCATTTTTCTGTTCTGGGACCTAGACTGAGAGAAAATTATTTTGCAACTTTGCACTATCAAAAATTTAATTGTTCTAATAGAATGAAGGGCATATAGTTATATAGCAGAACAAGCTTTCTTTGCCTGAAATTGTATAAATTAATTCTTTCTTAGTTTAAAAACTGATAGAAGTTTTCCATTTTAGTTCCAGTATCTGCCAATCATTTCTCAATGTTTCATTTCTGCACATGCTATTTATATAATTAGAATCAAGCATTTGTATAATATGGTTGAATATATCTAAATAGTTTTATCACAAAGACTATATTTAATTATTATATAAAGCCTACTTTCAAACTAAAAATAATTATCATTCTACACACACTGCCAATATTTTTAATTTTTTATATACATATTAATATTAATATAAATAGTATTCTTATGATAAGNAATTTATACAGTATTAAAGGTTAATATAATTTTATAGTAAGGAACATTTTAAAATTGTAACAAGAAATGCCTTTTGATGTAATCCTCAAAACTAAAAGTGCCTCAAATGTTGATGAATTTTACTATGGAAGAATATGAATCTTTATCATAAATATTTTAATAATCTTAAGTATTATCTGTCATACTTTTTCCTAAAATAATATTGCCATCAATTATAGATAAACAATCCAATGGTGAAAGATTCCAAATTTATCTCTACAAAGTCCTTTCTGCAGGAGAATTCTATGCCAAAAAGAATGTTAAAATATAATTTTTTAAACAAAATACAAGTTAAATTTTAAAATATGATTTAAGAAAGATAAAAAAAATTATTTTATGCTAAAATTGTGTACATCTAAAAATTTTTTTATTGAAACTGTTATTTAATTTTATTGTTAAAGCTTACAACTTATTTTATAATTATAGATTGAGAAAGAACCAGCATTTCTGAATATTAAAGCACAAAAAGAGTTAATAATTTTGCACAAGGAAGATGCAGATAAACCTCTAAATACATCTAGAAAATTAAATATTCATGGCTGTAATATGTGGCATCATATACGATGTCCAGAACGAGTATTTTATAAAAAGTTGGATAGTAAAAAGGTATTTATTTGATTTATTCATAGACTAAATAAATTTTTAATTATAAATATGATCAGTAATTATAATTTTTTAAATCAAATTTAAAGNTATTTTATTAAACAAAGTTTACATGTTTGTTGCTGTAATGATAGATACTATGTTTTCCTACATTTTCATCAAAGAAAATTACTGTATATTACAAATAAAATGACAAAAATTTCGAAGACTAGAACGGATTAATTGCATTTGCATTAATTTCTATGGGAAAAATTGCTTCAGTTAACGAACAATTCAGTTATCAAACGAAGTCACGGAACGGATTAAGTTCGTTAACCGGGGTTCCACTGTATTTATAATTTACACCTACTACTCCACCAGAAAACTAGAAACAGACATGACAGCATACAGATAAACACTACATGAGAAATTTACACAAAAATATTACTATTCACTATTAAGGCACACACATATAGGCAGAAAAATTAAGGCACTATTGAATTTTAACAACAGCTGCAAGTAATTTCTTCTTTTGACCTTGACAATTATACAGGTTCAACCAATCATCCAAAATGGATGATTGGTTGAATCTGTCATTCAATGTTGCCTTAATTTTGCCACCTGTGCACATATGTCTTTAGAGCAAAGGATTGTTGATCAGAAAAGAACAATTATACAGAACAATCTTAGTCCACAAACACTTGAACATATTAAACAAATATTAAATGACACAAAAGTTCAGACACTCATTGACAGTACCTGAACAGTAGTCACTCATGAAAATGTACACAGCAAAACATTCACCAATGCAAACACTAACACAACAGTTACAATCAGTGACACTATTAATTAACACTCATAAATTAATTTTAAGAATATATCCACTAAATATATGGGTTTAGACCCCACATAGAGAACACAAATACTCAAAATATACGCATCAAAACAACTATAAAAACTTTACATAATTTAAATCCAGATAAATTAATAAAATACAAGACAGGTTTAACATAAAACTGGAAAAATGTGATTAAATTTGAGAGAGAGAGATATCATAGTAATTTTGACACAAAACTTTTAATAGTAACTGCAACTGGCAATACTATTCATGCATGAGAATGTAAGACATTAGACCAAGAAAATGACAGTGCTTCCCTGTCAGTACACAAAAGAAAAGCAGCATATTGTTATCTGATTTTTGATTAGTGAAGGTATAAAACTGGTCGACATCTCTTAGTGCATGCTGGTACTGTTCAGATATAACTGCAAGAGCTGCATGCAGATGTATGAATAAAGTACTAGGTTCAAAAATAGCCACAGTTCTGTGGAAAACTGTCCACAGCACTCATTGTGGTTGCAGCCATGGAGTGAGGGTGAGGTCTTCAAATATTTTGAATTCCAATAGGCCAAACTTACATAACATACATAAAAAAAAACAATAATTAAAGAATACAACAGCAGTTAAAACCAAATATTAACAACATAGCTGAATTCAAACATGCATTTAAAGCAATCAATACATATATCATTCTAGTACTGATATAAACAGAACTATAATCTATGCAGGATAAAGAACAAAGCCAGTGTGTAGCTGTCGAGAAAGGGTATGAATCTTGTTGCCGAGTAATAAATAACTGAAACCGGGGAATTGTTCGGGTTGATAAATAAGTTTAATTTTTACTAATCCAAAAAAAAAAAAAAAAAACTAAAATTTGAATAAACAATCATTCATGCTTAGGAACTATGAATTTACAAAATTAATTGGGACTGATCATAAATACAACGGATGGGTTCCCAAGTACTGACAAACAAAGAACCTAGTCTATCTTAGGTCTAACTTAACTAATTTCTACAAGTAACTGGGCCCAAAGTTAAGGGGGAAGATATTAAGAATCATAGGATTATAAAAGTTTCTAGAGAAGGAAATGGTTTGAAGGGGTGACTGGCTATAAATAAAAAAAAAACCTCAGATTGTTCTGTCATAACTTCCTTCTGTACTTGTCGACATGTATGTCTCCTTTCAGCTCTCTCCAAAAGAATAAATCCTTTCCTTTTTTGAATCTTGCATGGTCCACTGCCAGTATCCTTTTTGACCAATTAGGTCTCACCCGTTTTGTTCTCTACACAGATCAGACCACTGGGTCACATAATCACAGTGTGGTCACAGGACAAAAGCTGGAAGTAAAGTCTTACAGTAGGAAGATGATATAAGGAGAAAAAAAAGAACAAGAAGGCTCAATCAAGCCACAATCTACAGTAAAATACAGTACCTAATAACAATGCAAATTGTCACTGGATTTTTCACATAGTATTTGTCATAAACATTATTTTCTCCATTGTTTCTATTTTGTTTGTCTTTTTCTTGTGATGAAAAAGTATAGTGGAAATTTTAAGTGAAGTATTTTATATGTATAGGGTAGATTATATTTTTGTGGTTTTAATTAGCTGAGAGAAATTATGTAGAAATTCCAAATTTAAATACAGTAATACCTCGACTTACACTATTCAGACTTACGCAAACCCGGAGTTACGTGATTTTCAAATCTCATCGATTCGTCTTCTGTTTGAGCGCCATGCAACTCTTGATTACTCACTCCCCCCACACTATTGTTCAGCTTACATGTTCNAAATTAATTCTTTCTTAGTTTAAAAACTGATAGAAGTTTTCCATTTTAGTTCCAGTATCTGCCAATCATTTCTCAATGTTTCATTTCTGCACATGCTATTTATATAATTAGAATCAAGCATTTGTATAATATGGTTGAATATATCTAAATAGTTTTATCACAAAGACTATATTTAATTATTATATAAAGCCTACTTTCAAACTAAAAATAATTATCATTCTACACACACTGCCAATATTTTTAATTTTTTATATACATATTAATATTAATATAAATAGTATTCTTATGATAAGAAATAAACTAGTTAATAGTAATTTTCTCATGCAAATCCAAATAAAGTTTCCAAATGAATCCAAATGCAATGCCTCTGGTAACTATCCCTGCCCCTGAGATAGTTACCAGAGGAGTATGCTCTCTCTAAGCTCAGTACATTTCCCAAGTGCCTGAGACTTCCATCTTACCAGTCTCCCCTCTCCCGTTCACTCTGCAATTTAAGGGTTTTTTGGATGGAAACTTCCAACCAATTACAAATCTTCCTTGTGTGAGCAGCTTTTACCCAGTACTGCTTTTATCAGAAGAGTGGAGCTTACATTTACGTCCGCTGATATCCGATCCACTTGTTTATGGCCAGGAGTTCACCATCTGGCAAGTACTCTATCACCGGACCACACATGGATTCAATTAGCAAGGTCAGCGCTTCTTTTCATCTTTTGTTTTCTCTCTGTTTACAAGCCAATACTTTACACTTGAGTCCCTCAAATTCATAATCTGCCAAAAGCCAATACATTTAACACACAACAGATTAATAAGTTTCTTAAGTATATTGGAGTATCTATATATAATTTTGATTTTTCTCATTATAGATGTTAAAGCAATATTGTGAAAACAATCAAAATTATGTAGCTACTACATGTTATATAACATGCATTATCAACTACGGAACATGTTTCTTGATGTAATTAAATAATTAACAATAAAGTTTAGGAATTATTTTCTGTTTTTACTTTCAGAAAACATCATCTTGGCAAAGTTATTTATATGATATTACTTTTCCAAGAACAGCTATGTTTACAGGTAATATAGTCTTATGTTTAAAATACAATGTATTAAATGTATTTAATAATTATGTAAAATATTGTTATTGTTCATTTAATACTTTTTATAAAATAAAAATTATTATGAAGAAAGACCAACTGGATAAGAATTAAATAAAATAATTATCATATATTTAATTACACTTTAATGTTTCAGCAATTACTTTAATAACAACAACCACTAGCATTTTTGGCCATATTAAATGACCTTCTTCAGGCTCAATCAAAACCAAAAAAAGGAACAAATCCTAAAATGGAACATTACACAGATCAATGGTTATGGAACAGTTACAACAGAAAGTTACAACTAGAATGGAACAGAAAGTTACAACTAGGATAATACAGCTAAGTAAGCAAGAGCATCTCATTTGATCAACATGATCAGGATGTCATTATCACACTCTCTGTTTTTTGGCATTCAGTATGATGGCACCCCATTTATAAGTCCATCTCGTATTAAAAGGTAAAAATATTGATAAAAAGTAAATTTTTTGTATAGCCAATAAAGCTGCATTATCTACAAATTATAGCAGTCTGTGCCGCTCCCTATCATGGAACTGATGCAATAAAGCCAACAATATTGAGCACTAATGGCAGAATACATAATGGTTGCTGTACACGCAAATTTACTCCTGCTAATCATCTACCAAAACTGCAGGAAGAGAAGATTCTGTAGTTGGACTTCCACCTGTCTTTGAATAGTGGCCAAAGACACCATTGCAGCTGTTTTGTGCTTATTTCAATTCAGACAATTATCTTTTGGTGGTCTATCTGGAGTGTCCAAAGCCTGCCTGCTGTGTTTGTGTGTTCTAATGTATCTAATGCCTAATGCCTTCTCACAGGCAGCTAAGAACAGCCCAGATAACAGGAAATACAGTAAATGGTTATCCTGCTTCCCACAGTTCAGTAAAGGCCACAATGATGTGGCCTTTACTGAATTCTTATCAACTATGTGTAATGTCTTTGAGTGCATCAAATAGAGATGTCTGGTATTCAAAGACTTTTAAACAATTTTGCACTGAAAATTTTGAACAGAATGAGCTCTGACAATTTTATGTAGGATACAGGAGTAGCAATTTTAAGCATTCTGATGGCATTACCTCACAAGCAATTTTTCCCCAAAAAGTGTTAGATACGAGGATCATCCAGAAAGTAACAACCTATTGTGCATTCTGGCTGCACAGTTTGATCTTGGGCTACTATCCAAGGTTGAATATTCCTTGACGTCTTTTCTCAGTGTTGTGTGAGTGCTAGTCGAAACAAGTTGTTATTGTGCATTCTGTGATTGTCAACAATGAACAGTGTGATACAGAGTCCTGCTGACTGTGAGGTCAGAGGCATTATTCAATTTTTGAATGCTTGGAAGTTGAAACCTGCAGAAATTTACTGTCAATTAAAGGAAGTGTATGGTGATACAGTAATGAATGAAAGAAATGTGCGAAAGTGGTGTGAAATGTTTAACAATGGACAAACAAATGTGCATGACGAAACTCGACCCAGATGTCCGCACTCATCACAAATGATTTGAAGAATCAAGTGAAGAACAAAATTATGCAAGACAGATGCATAACCTTGGACAAGTTACATGTTTCTTTCCCTAACATTTCTCGTTCTTTGCTTGCTGAAATTGTCTCTGAACATCTTGGCTGTACCAAAATTTGTGCATGATGGGTTCCTCGGCAACTGAGTGACCAGCACAGAACACAGAGAATGGGTGCAGCACTGACATTTTTGATGTGGTATCATGCAGATGGAAATACCTTTCTTGATCAAATTGTTACTGGTGATGAGACATGGGTGTCTCACTTTACCCTAGAGACCAAGCACCAATCACTCGAGTGGCATCATCCCTCATCACCCAAAAAACTGCAAAAATTCAAACAAACTCTGTCAGCATGAAAACTCATGGCAATGGTTTTTTGGGACCATAAGGGTGTTCTCTTGATGGATTTCATGCCAAAAGGCACTACGATCAATGCAGATTGATATTGTGCCACCCTAAGAAAACTATGGCAAGCAATCCAAAATCGTAGGCGTGGAATGCTTTCTTGTGGTATTGTGCTGCTTCATGACAATACCTGCCCTCATACTGATGCTGCAACCATAGGCTTGCTGGATCGATTTGGATGGGAAATTTTTGATCATCCACCCTACAATCTGGACCTTGCTCCTTGTGATTTTAGCCTTTTTACGAAGCTCAGAGTTCCTGGGCAGGAAACATTTTGGAAGTGATTACGAGGTGAAGAATGCAGTAAACAACTGGCTTAATGGACTGGTGGCAGCCTATTATGACCTGGGAATTCTAAAGCTCATGCACAGATATGACAAATGCTTAAATAATGATGGTGATTATGTAGAGAAATAAAGTAAGCTTGAATTTTGTAAGTAACATGTTTTTATTAATAAAATATATTTCTTACATTTATTAAAACCAAACGTTCATTACTTTCTGGATGACCCTCGTAGATGACCAGCACAACTCTATTGTTAAAGGAAAAGTATGATATAAGGAGAAGCCACTTCTAATTTAAGGTGGAGAGCATATAGTCAAATCCGCGTAAGTCGACATCCCAGGGGAAGGTGTGAAAATGTGTCGAGTTATCCGATATGATGACTAAAGCGAAATTGAAAAAACCATAATACTACAATTAGGAAAATACAGTAGTGCAATGTACCTCTCTGATCATCCATTACTGACACTAAAGTTGGTTTCTACTCCAAGTACCTCACAATTTCCATCACCTTTTGTTTCAGTATCAGTCTCGAAACAGGAAGATTCAATAAATGAATTTGCTTTAGCCAATATATTAGAGCATCTTCAACATCATTGTATGGCCACTTTCTCTTGTGTTTTCAAGATAGTTGTGATGAAAATCCAAGAAAAAGTTTCTTAATTTCCTCTTTTTTCTTCAGGATTCCCACCAATGTTGTTTTTGGAAGGTTTTTTGTTTTATAAATTCGGCTTGCAAAGTTTTCTTACATTCAAATTTAGAAACAAGTTCGTATTTTTCCTTCAGCATAAGCATTGTTAGCTTTCGGGTGTTCATTTCTAACAGAAATATGAAGCACGTACAAATAATGCATGAGGTGTGAAAATGCAAAATTGGATTCTGCTGTGACATTATATAGATTGTATATTTTATTTTTGTTTATCTGTTATCATTTTATATATAAAAATATATAAAATGTTAAGGAATTTTTATTAATATGTATATATTAATAAATAAGTCAACTCCCCTCCTGAAAAAAATGAGTTCACACTGCACTGTGCACCTGTAAACTCATTTTTTTCAGGAGGGGAGTTGACTTATCAGATGTCTAAATGAGTGTGGGACAGCAAAAGTATGTGAATTTATTCAGTGGTGATGAGTTAAATGGTGTCAAGTAATCCAGAGTTTTTTAACATTAATGCTTATGTAAGTTGGCCAGGATCACAGAAAACTGACTACTTAACCGATGGTGTTGAGTTGTACCTATGATGACTTATGCGGACTCGACTGTATTTTAAATTAATGAATTAGAAATATGATTAAAAATTGCAGTGAGACATTGTGACGATGTCACAATAAATAATTGCTCATATCTTTTATATATTTGTATTTTATTTTATCTGAAGAAGCAGTTACAACAAAGACAAAACTATTCATATTAACTTCATTTTTTTCCTTTCAGAGTTCTTATGTAAATTACTTAATATTGTTTAGTGACTTTATAAGCTTTCTAATATTTAATTATTCTTGTCATCATTTAATTTTTTTTCTCCATTATATCTTCTTTCGTAATGCAATTAACTTCATTTATTTGTTATGAAATAATATTTATTATCCAAATATTTACATCTTCTTAACTTAAAAATAATTAAGTAAATTAGAATTAAGTGCTTAATTTTTAAAAATTTTAAATATGTAATAATTATAATAAATTAAAATGATTATTTTAGTTGTCTTATAATTTTTGTTGTGGCATTGTAATTAAAATTTTAATAAAATCTTTTATAACACACACAAACCTAGAAAGTTGTTTTATTTATTAAGAAATAAACTGTATTAAGATAAATGTTATGATAATTTTTAAATTTTCAGAATTACACTGATTATTTTAAAATGGTTTCGTGTTAACAAAATTTTTTATTTACTTTAATATATAAACTATTAAAAACAAAATTTATTTATAGGATGTTGCTTCAATGAAAATTTAAAAAAAATCTTTAATAATACTCAAATAGAAGATTTATGGCTTCCATATTTTACTGTGTCAACAGACATTACAAATAGTTCAATGAGAGTTCATGAAATTGGTAAATACAAGAAAATTGTGTTAGTTTGTAACATTTTAGTTTCATAAGATGATAAATTGATATAATTATAGTGAGGTACTTTTGAATATTGAAAAATGCATAAGTTTAAAGTTAAATGTGTTATTACTATTTTAAAGATAAAAAGTGATGCACATGAAACTAACCCCAAACACAAAATATAGTTTTAAACTCTTATTTGGTAATAATGTATTGTACATATCAGTTACATTTGGTATGGTAAACAAACAATATTTTTAATTTATAAAAGCTTGAATTTTAACAATTTACACATTTATCAGCATTTTTATCTTTTCAAACTGCAACCTTCCAATATATTTTGAAAAGATAAAAATGCTGACAAATGTGTAAATTTTTAAATTATATTTTTAACTTAAAAGCCATGCAATTCATGAAATACACTTGAAATTTGAATATACAGTGGAACCCCGGTTAACGAACGTCCTGGTTAACGACCAAATCAGTTAACGAACTTTTATTTTGCAAAAATTTTGTTTCAGATAACGAACGTAACGGTATTTTGTGTCAAATTTTAGTTGGTGTTAGGCATGCGCGAGTTAAGCATTGCTTTTCTTAATGTTTGTGCTATACTTCTTATTTCAGTTTTGTGATTTATATATTTAATCAATATGGCATCAAAGAAAGAAAAAAGTCATAGCGGCAATAGAAAATGACAACGCAATATAAACGACAATG